CCAGGCCTGTCCGTTTGGTTCAATGGAAGTCATAGCTTAAATTGTCATGCAATCAGTTGTCAATGATGTCACACAAACATTTGACTCAGTCAGTCCGCCACTCCACTCAGACTCTTTTTGAGGCAATCAGCGGCAATGAACGGGCTTTGGGCTGCAAGATGCAAACACATGACACTGACTGTACACAATTTCACTGAAACATGTTGAACATGTGAAATTTGAATCTCAAGTGAATGCATGCCTCGCAATCCCATTTGCCAAAACGTGCGCTGATTCGATTTCACAGCCGCATGTACCAAAAAGACAATCTAAAATTAAATTAGTTTGAGACACTACTCAAGTGCGGCTGCTGGTGGTGGCACGTGGCAAGTTGACACGTGGCAAATGGCCACTGCCACCACAGCTCTAATTGGCTCCGTCTGCTGCAACTTTGGCTATCATCGCAGTATGCCCTGGTCCCAAAGCCATGCTTTCTCGTTGCCTCCGTCAAAGAAAACCTGTCTCTCGACTGTCACTTGGTTCATTGTCTGTCTGTCTGTCTGTCTGTTTAAAACATCAGCCCCATTGATAGCCGAGTTGCTGATAGCGTTCATCAACCAAGCGTCAAATGAGTCGGTGTCATCTTTGGGAATCTTGTACAGCAGCCGACTCCTGCCGATCAGCAAAGGCAATGCGTCACTTGTCACTTGTCAAATGTCACGCGTCACTTGTCAAATGTCTCGCGTCACTAGTGGAGCCAAGTAGCAATATTTTGAGCTTGGTGACAAATGGCAATGGTGTCAAGTTGGAAGCGACGGATGGTGACACATTGTAGTAGGCGTAGATCTCTTCCCTAAGTTAAAAATGCATGCCACTGACAAATCACAAATGACAAATGACAAATGACTGACTGACATAATCTAACTTGCCATCGAGATGCAACACCTCATCATCCTGGAGCCAGTTCATCGGGCCACGTGGCGAAGGTGGCCGTGGTTCCTCTGGCGACTCTGGCGCATCTGGCTCGTCACCATCATGTGTCACATCGGCAGGATTGTCAGGTGCCACCTGGTCCTGGTTCTGGTCCTGCTGCTCCACATTGACATCATCCTGCCGTGTGTCATCATGCCAATTGGCATGTGACGCATGTGACTCCCAGCCACTTGACCAGTCGCCAGACCACCAGCCGCCGGACCAGCTGTGCCACCAATCATCACCACGCCAAGGCCACGCATGTGGCATGTTCTCAGGAGGAGGTGGTCCTGGTGGTGGCCCTGGAACCCTCAACCTTTTCCTCCAAGGGGCGTTGGCAATGTCAGCCTGGTCACCTGGCACGTAGTCACCCGGCACGTAACTGGATTCCTGGTGACTGGATGCCTGCTGGCTGGATGCCTGGTCCACTGGGCTGGGTTGGCCACCTGTCACCTCACTGCATGGCGCCGATGCCTGTGCTGGAGCTGCCTGTGTTGGAGCTGCCTGTGCTGGAGGTGGCTGTGCTGGAGCTGCCTGTGAGGGAGCTGCCCGTGCTGGAGCTGCCTGCGATGGACGAGGTGGCTGTGCTGGAGCTGGCGGTGCTGGTGGCTGTGCTGGAGCTGCCTGCGCCGGAGTTGCAACAGATGCCTTGCACAGCACGCATTTAAGTCATCAATGGTGACATGTGACATGTGACAATATTGAACCAACCGAACCGTATAATCGGTTGAGACAAGATGCCATTTGCGCAGGTGGCACAGAATCCTGCATCTCGATCAGCGGAATCACATGCTGATATTTCCTTGGAAGATGGGACATCAACAGCGATGAACAACAATGGCAGCAATGCGTGCGATGCGTCACATCATAGCTGGCGAGGCACCGGTGCAGGTTCCATGAGTCTACAAAGATCTCCAACGCCTTGATGCTGACATTCTCCAAACTTCCAGCGGCATTGGCCCACATGGCAGGTGGCAAACACCACAGCTGAGCCTTCTCCCTTAGCCGAATGACAAATCGAAATCGAGTCACAATTTACCCAAGGAATCCTCACGCAACAGGACCAAAGCAGAATCAGTTTAATTGAGCTATGCTTCAGTGTCTCCTGTTCATTGTAGAAAGCGTGCATGCCAACGCACATCTGTGAAAACTGACGCTCGGAAACCAACTGCTGGTACCCAATGAGAACATGGCAGCCAAAAGCCTTAGTTGAAGCACATTGTAAACAATTTTAATATTGAATCTCAGATGGCTCAATCATGTGTCATCATGCCTCACCCCTCGAATAGAGTCCAGGCACTTTCAAAATGGCATATACCACAGTGGCGGTGCATGGAGCACGATGCCAGCCAGACGAACAGCAGCACCTTGACAGCACATGTTAGCACAGTTTAGCAACACCTGGCCACCTGTCACGTGTCTCTTGACAGCACATTTTAACACAGATTAGCAACACCTGGCCACCTGTCACGTGTCAATCGCTGCAGTCAAGACTCCGCACAACCCGGGTCGGGAAGCACAAAATGTCCTCGATGACATTGAGGAAGTCAGGATGTGACATCACCTCCCTCATGGTTGCAGTGGTGACACCGCTTTCACGTGAGCAAAACTCCTGTGACCTCAGTCAATGCAAATGATCATGTGACATAAACATTGAAATTTGAAATATGTGACATCTTACGTGCGCAAACTCAAATGCAAGCGGGTGGCATTTTGGACGTGTGCAACAAGTGCGCAAGGCGGTGTTTCCAACGTTCGGACTCCTTGAAGCCGAGGGCCAAATCCAGATCAGCCACCGTGTGGATATGGCAAGAGTTGATCGTGCAGCCAATCTGGCACATGGCAAAATGAGCTAAGAGTTCTGTATATGAAAACGCACATTCAAAGACTCAAAGATGAAACACTCAGACTTAGCAACATCCCCAGCATGAGCCTGGTTCAGGCACTTGTCACTTGCGCCATATGCCACAACCAGGATGGGTTGCGAGGACCAGGCCACTGACGTACCTTTTGGCGTGACGACGGTCTTGGTCTCCCACGCCTTGCCCCAGTCCACCTCAGCAGCAAAGTATGACAATGGTGTGACAAATGACACATGACAAATCAGTTGACGCGCAAGCCAATTTGAAACATCAGTCGAGACGCAGTGCTGGGATCTTGCCATGGGCTGTTTGACACTGGCACATGGCGATTGGCAAATGCAGCAGGAATGTGACTATCGTCAACCTGAGGTGGTACATCATTCCAATAGTCCTCATCCCATATGCTACTTGGATGGGCCGGCTTGTCGGAGGGAGGCTGCGACGGTGTCACACCTCAGCTGCTAAAAAGACACGACAAGCAAGGAGCCACATGTCATTTTACAATAATAAGTAGTTTGACACAGCGACACACACACAGCACATGATTTATTCCAGGAGTCTGTCTGAGTGCATTCTCAACACCCTTCAAAATGTAGCCAGACTTGTTAGTTGGCTCAGCTCTCTTGAAGGCAGCCCTTGGCAAGGCGAAAATTCAAAAACATTCAATGAGTTGTGAGCATGAGCCGGTTCAGATGTCCACAGCGCTGCCAAGACACACCAAATTCACAGCAGCCTTTTTATCTGCCAAATGAAGCAAATAAAGTGCCTGAGATCAAGAGGGTTGAGCAAGTGACACATGACACATGATTCAAACATGACACATGACACATGACAAATGATCAAGGGGGTTAAACTTCGGCAAAGGCACCCACACGCACTTCCTGAGTTCAATCAAGTTCATGCTCGCAAACACAACCCGAACACAGTCACAAAAGCACCCAGTGCAATCGAGCATCTTCTCCGTGCACACGGAGGTGTCAATCCCCTCGTCCTCCAGGATCTCTTCAGCACGCGATGGCTGATCGTACTCGTCCATTCACGATGGCAATTGTATGATATGTGACATGTGACTCGGCATGTGACATGGCATGTGTCATGTGTTGGAATCATGTGACATGTGACTGTGACGCCTCATGTGTCAACTTGATCCAAGAATATCATTGAAAGGCAGCTCAACTGTCAACTGTCACCATGACACATGTTTCTCACTTGTCACATGTTTGCAAGTTTAAAATGCTTGACAAGTGATTGCACAAAATGACTCGATCTCAATCTCGCCTTCTCTGACATAGTCCTTGAAGAAAGCACCCGGTCGGACCTCAACAGTGTGACATGTGGCATGTGACAATGTCAATTGAATGAAGCACTCCCGAATCTACCACTAATGCAATCTTCTGACTGACTCTTTCATTGTCAAGTGACAAGTGGCTCTAGACTCGAATCAGAATGCGTGAAACTGAGGCACATGGCACATGGCATGTGATCCTGGGCAGCTGACCAAGACATGAAGACAGCCTCAAGTCAAACGGAGCCCACGATTTCAACAGGAAACATGACTTCACATGACACATGACACTGACAATTCATGCAATGGCAAATGAATGACTCTAATTCTGATTAAAAATTATGTCCTACCCCCCCTCTCACTGTGGACCGCACCAAATCCTGACAGACAAACTCCTGATTTCAGGAGTTTGTCTGTCAGGTTCCACCTATCACGTGATTTTAATTTGAGCCGAAATTCTACAGTAAAGGGCGAGCTGTTGATAGGTAAAAAGATTGCAGAAATACAAAAAAATAAAAAATCCCTCAAACGTCCACCCAGGTAACAAGCGTTCACCCCTTTTCACGAAGAAACTTGGAAGGAGCTTTTCTGAGGGCATGATGTCACCTCTCCAAGATGCCAGCTGGCCCAACTGAAGGCTTGGATTCCCTAAATTTTCAACCACCCCGATGGGGCATAATATGTAGCCTGTTCCAATGTCATGAAATGTTACTCCTGACCCCTCCCATTTCATAGGGGAAATGGCAACAGGGATGATTTTGATGGTTTGGTATTCATGTTGGATCAATCCAAATGAGGAGCGTTGATGAATCAACCTTCCACTCAAAGGGCCTGTCTGGCCATCCGAATGAGCATCCCGTGTCAACCCTTCGCACCACGAACGACCGAAACCGCGACCGGACCGCGGCCACGCTGCGAAAGCTGGCTTGGGAGACCCGTTGCCCCAAGGCCTCCACCACCTAACGGTCGAGTCCGCGGCGCGGCGCTTCGCCCGCGGAGCGGGCGGAGCTCGGGATTGCTTCGTGAAACAGCAAGCAAGGCTGGGAGCCCCAAATTGACCTTCCTTTTGGCCGTTTTAAAGATGGTGGACATGGGGTTGTAGTGTAAAACGGTCAAATCTGTAAAAAATGTGTGATGATTGTCGGTAAAGGCCCAGGCTATTCAAACCACAGCGGTTGGAATCCGGGTTGGGAGCCCTGATTGTGAGCTCCAAAGGAGAGAAAGGAAAGAAGCTTGGAGCATGCCAAAAGGGGAATGGAAAAAGCTTGTTCTGAAGGTGCGTTGAAGAACAGCCCCTGCTCAGCAGGTGGAGGTTCCAGGTGGAGAACTATTTGGAGAACACCAGGGTGGTGGAGCTTCATCCGCATCGAGACCGACGCACTGATGAAGTGGACTTCAGTGACCTGAACTATAGGGCAACCTGTTTGAAACAAAAAACACAGAATCACCAGCTTCTTCAGTTCGTGACCTCTTTGGAGTGCCATCCAGTGACCTTTTACATGCCAAAGTGACCTCAAACAGGGATATCAAAAGGTCACTTTGAAGAACCAGGCAATGAACATGTCAAGCTTAAACGCCAAACCCCGTGATTCAGGGTGGACATCCCCAAAAAAACAACGCGGCTTCCAAACACACACTCTCTCTCTCTCTCTGTCAGGTCCACCGAACAGCAAGCGCCGCACGACGAACGACGAACCTGAAGGGATGCATTCTTGAAGGCCTTCCGGTGCTTCGCCTGATGCAGAGACGCGAGACACACACGAAGCGAGACACGAGACCTCGGGCGAAGCGGAGACGCGGAGACGCGAGACACGCCGAAGTGGACCATGGACCATGGAAGCTCCCCCTGCTTTCCCTAAGGAACGTCTGTGCCAGGGATCAGTGGAAACACTTCGTTCCACTTCCATGTGAGTGAGTCAGAGTGTGCATGAAACTTGCAAATAACATCAACATACACCAACAACTCTCAAGAAGTTCATAAACCACTCAACCCACCATAATAAACATCTCCCCCCCTTTCTGAACACTGACCTCCGCGGCACTTTTCGTCGCACCTTCGTCAAGAGCCAGCTACTGGGATCCACCAACTGCTGATTCAGCTCGTCCGCCTGCGAGGAAGGGCTCGGAGCTCGGAAGGGCTCGGAGCGAGGTCCTACGGCTTCTGATTGGAAGAGAGGGTGGGCGACAGCCAAAAATGCACCCACCTGAAACCTTGTAGTAGGATAAAGGCAGTATACTAAGGTGTGTCTGCACCTTCTATAGACTGGTGTTTCAAAATGGGGGGTGCCAAGTCGGCCATGTGTTACATGCAGTCGCCATGTGCGCCACTGCGTCACTGCGTCACAGGACGACCGGGGCCCCATCACGAGCATCATGTAGGACTTCGCTTTGCTGTCAGGGAACGGGAAAACACTATTTCCAGCACCACGGAAGAAGTGGTTATTGGATGGAAAACCATAGTCAACAGTGTCCAGAAACCACCCGAACCTCCACCCAGTTCGGGGCTTCCGAACTCGACCGGAAAGCCGCAACAACCACCGAAGTGGTGAGGGTGGCCGCAACATCGGTTTTGGCGCCCCTAAGGAGCCCACCCGAACATGCATACCCTAAGGATCCAGGTAAGTACCCTCGTTTCGTTTCGGTGGGACTGGGGTGGGTGCCAGCAAAGTCCAGCTGGACGCCTAGGGAGTACCTTTTGAGGAGGTACGACCGGATCCCTAGGGATAAGCTTGAAGTGCACGGTCCGAAATAGTTCTGAGCAGAGAAAGCTGAAGCTGGTCGTCAAAATGGTCGTCTAGCGTAAGCACGCACACCTCTTCGGCATGTGTCCAACACACCAAGCGCAGCGTAAGCTTGCACGACGACGTCGACGACGATCGCCTTCGGCCGTGTCATCTGAAACTCCAAAATGATGGAGCCAGCAAAGACCTTGGAGTCTTCGGCTGAGGAAAGGCTGACCTCTGAGATGAGGAAAACACCCGTTTTTTTTTCAGAATGGCATCAAAAGACACCCCAAAGGTACCAAACATCTTAGATGTTACTGTCTATACAAGCTATAATAACAGGCCCAAGACAATGTCTATAGAAATTACTGCCCAGGAACTGGGAAAACAGTGAAACTGGACCCCCCGTGCCAGGGATTCACTCAGGACAATGAGCATCACTGCGCACGAAGCGGACGTCAGCTAGGGGCCAAAAAGGTTCGAGACAACCTAGACACGTCATCCGGATGTTAGTGAGGTGTTTGATGATTCACCCGGATGAAGGTTTTGTCAGAGCTCTGTGGACTGGGGGTTTGGTCTAAAATCTCTAGATCAGAGTTTTCACCAGGACCATCCTTGGTCATGAGTCATGTTTTCGTCTGCGCAACTCCCGTCAGCCCACAAAAATACCCTCTCATCATCGCTTCGTCTGATTTCATCTGCGCAAAAAAGAACAAGCAGCTTTGCAGTCAAGGGGTTCCTCTCCAACAGCCTTCTGAATGTCGTTGGTGATGGCATCCTTAGGAGTTCCACAACTGGCTTTCCACAGCGCCACTGGCGCGCCTTTGCGGAAGAACTACCACTGGTGCGGAGAGTCTTGGCACGGCCCGGGTTTGGAGAGAAGAATAGAAGTGTTCCCATCCATTTTTGTGTTGTGAATTCATTTGGAAAGGCAACAACTCAAGGATTTGTTGAACTCAATCGCAGCTTTCAACCAATGATCTTTGAGTCTTTCATAGCTCTCTCTCTCTCTCTCTCTCTCCATTCCAGTTTCATCCAGTTTCCAGTTTCATTTGCTCGGCTTGCTCGGTGCCGCAAGTGCGCCGTGCCCAGTCTCCAAAGTTGCCGGACGGTCGTTTTGGCTTCGGTTCAATCATCGGTATACTTTGGGTGTATCCCAAACACCCAGACACTCAGTGGATGATGACAGTTAGTAAAGACCTTTCTCAAAGATAGTGATAGTCAGTCTTTTACTGACTGTTACTGGTAATGGGCTACACCCTAATTATGGTATATATTATATATACTAGTTGAAAGTAGCCAGTATGGATTGGTAACAAGTGCTCTATGGTTTATACATGTTAATTACCAAGTGACCTTGTTTCCCACCATCGGTGGAGTCGTGGAAGTCGCGGAAAGAGCCACTGTTTCAACTCTCCGCCAGCCAAGGCGGACTTGTTGTCCACTTCCATGTTGCAGGGAGGGGTACTGGTACTGGTACTGGTATCGATTTGGGTTCTCCCTATGAAAATGCACATGCACCCATTTATAGTTCCAACAAACGAATCTTCAACACCTGTCGCGAACTTGTTGCTCATCACACAGCGGCTTTTTTTCATAAAACCACCAAACCACGGAAACAAGGAACGAACCACAAAACAAATCACCAGCCTATCATTCGTCCACACCAACGTTCACCAGTTCGGAGATGCCATGCGAACACACCAACTTCCTACAGAGGTTCAGTGACCTGAACTAGGACCCGTCACCAGTACCCAACTAGGATAGTCTCGAACTCGGGTTCTGACCCACCTCTGCTGGTTCACCTTGTGACCGCCACCGAGTGTCCGTCCATTTCTTCCTCTGATCTGCCGACTTCACCTGAGATGCGAGCGGTCCTCGTCGGCGTCCAAAGCGGTCGTCGGTCCGTCGATGCAGCAGTCGATGCAGTTGGATCATCGCTCCGAGGTTCGAAGCAAGAGTCAGTTATTGACGAGTTTTGACCTTTATGGCATTTCTAGCATTTTCTAGCTTCTGGCTTTATCTCAATTTATACCTGGGTCATCCTGTCTGGGTGTCCGGACTAGACACCCAACCCCACTGCTTATTCACCCCATTTAGGGACTCAACGCCAGCCCGAACTCCTGGTTCATCGGTTCTGACCTCTACCTTCTGGCTGAGCGCCGAACTGTCACGTTGAACAATGTCGTGTCGGTCTGGCGCTTCCCACGGGTCGGGTCGCCAGCACCGGCTTCCCACCGGCTCTGAAGGTAGTAAAGGACCGGTTCCATTGGAACGAAGGGCTTCAGCACGGTGATCCACTGGATTTTGTGTTCCCTTCGTTCAGTCCCCTATGGATCCACTGCCACCGTACCTCAGAAGCTAGGCTTGGACCCGACAACGGCGCCGAATTACACAAAAAGTCTCCAATCACCGTACTGACCTGGTTCGGTATGTGGATCCATAGGGGTAGATCAGATGGGGGTCACCACCTCAAACCTTAGACATTTGTGCCAACTTGTACTGACCTGGTTCGGTATATAGATCCATAGGGGTCATGAACTTCCTCTTCGGCTTCCGTGCGGGTTTTCAGCTTCGGTGGCCGATGCATAGGCCAGGTCAAAGTGCAACTGATGACGTGGCTTGACCTCACAGGCCGGGGAAACTAGAACCAACACCGAAACACATCGAAGTGGTGTCCCAAATCAGTGGCGAGTTTGGAACTTGGATCTTGATTGGGTTTGTCTTACGATCCTTGGTCCCGACACCTTCGCAGGGGTCTGGACCTTCAGAATGCGTTGGCACTCTTTTTTAGTATGTTTTGTTTGGAGTATACCAATATCAATCGGACACCTGACCGGTACTGCAACTTCTTGCACTTGCTCATCTGCTCATCCAAGAAATGGGAACACGCGCCTGGTTTCAACTTGGTGAAAAGAATTCGGGAAACATCATTGGAGTGATCTGGCCTATTTTTGCCCATGGCAATATCATATTGCGCGTGGTCGGCGTGATCCTTTTCCGTGGTTCGATGGTATATAATATTTTGTCGTGGTCCCAACCCCTCCGGCTTTAGTATTGTTCTCGTTTGGAAACCAAGAACACACACACAAAACAAACAATACTAAAGCCGGAGGGGGTAGAGTGTGACCACACTGTTTTGGAAAAAAAACATGTGCGTTTGTGGTTATGAGTGGTTCCATCGGTGTCCGGTATCACATTATGCGTTCCAGCTGCGTCGCTCCTTTTCCTCTACTTGGTGTTTGGTGTTTGGTGTACATGGGTGATTCATGTTTGAAGATTCCTTGAAACTGGCCAAGAACCATTCATATGTTGATGATCTAAGGTTGAACACCACCTCCCAGCAACCTGCACATTTAGCTATGTTAAAAAAGTGTGTTATGAGATGAACTTCGCTGTGGTGCTTCAGGTGCTGGCATGCTTCACAGCTGCTTCGCGTGGTTCGTGTGGTCGGTGCCATGCGTTTTCTCTTGGACACCAAGCGGGTGCAAAGGATACTTGCCAAACTTCCAGGACATGTGAAAAATCTGGTCGACGCAACTTCACAGCTGTCAAATGCTGTCAGAAAAAAAAAAAACTCTGAGATTCACGATAAGACCTCTCTTGCTGCCTGGAACGTCAACCTTCGTGTTCAACATCCTCCGTGTTTTAAGCGCTTCGCCCTTCTGAAGAATGGCCGGTCGCTTGGTCACCTGGCCTTTCGACGAGGATCCACTTCAGGGTGTTGTCACACATTCTTGCTCCCTCTATCCAAGAACTCTTCCAAAAGGTTCCCCCAACGGCAGGAACTTTCAACACGAGCACGACAACGCCAGGCGAGGCAAACACAGGTCCAGCCCCAAGACCCTTCGACTATAAACGGGAACCTTTCGCTACGCATTCGGGAACAATCAGAGCAAGAACCACCCCGTCCATGAACCACCACTTCGCGCTTTTGCCAGCAGGTTAAGCGTCTCCACGTTGCCCTGCCGCTCCAACTGCACGTGGAGGACACAGTCAGAGAGGAGAGCTCCCCCTCCGAATTCGGTCGTGGAGTTTCCGCTCGCTGATCTCTTCAGCCATCTCTGGCCAACCATGATTTCGTGCCACATCCACCTGGGACTACCCCGAGAACTCAACATCTTCTCCATCATCAGAATCAGTAGCTTCGAACTCTTCCATGGACCAAAGAGACTCCAACAAAAACACTTGCCTATGAAACCTGCCAGAAAGTTGCTGTGCCAGCCTCTAGTTTGCTCGGGCCCTCTCCGCACCCAGGACCGAGGGGCGCGGTGGGCGCCAGGACGGTCAAAATCCCTAGGGCTCCAACCACGTCCGTGAGGTCCGGTGGTTGGGGTGTGTTTGGGGGGTCTAACCACCTTCTGAGGAGATGGTTGGAGCCCTAGGGAATTAAAGACAGGATACCAAGCACGGACATGTGCGTAGATAGTCTCAGGCGAGTGAACACGGAAGCATCAGCAGCCCTGGTTGGCTTAGATTGGACAGGTAGCCCGGATCTAAGTCGGAGTGGAGCTTTTCCAACATACTGGCAAGTCGGGTTCGGGGTATGCCTTCGAGATAGTTTGGGCTTCTGGATAGCAAGGCGTCTTCGCCCTGTTTTTTGGGTCCATATGGGTCCCTTGGTTGTTGCGAAGCTTCTGAAGCGGACGCCACAAGCTGAAGTGGTTGAGGAAGCCTATCTCCAGAGCCAGTGGATTCTGTTCCTTCTTCCATGTCCCAAAAGCGATTCATTATCATCATGCTGCCGAGTCTGAGCAGTCTGAGCAGTACTGCCGCTGTCTGTCCAAGAACTGCCGCTGTCTGTATACTTCTAAAACAAAAGGCAGGTGTCTCAAGTGCAAGCCCACTCAGCTTCCGAAGAAACTCGATCTGCCGGCTCAACCTGCTCTAACTCTAAGAATGTCCCCGCTGCGTTTCTTTGTCACCCGCCTCACTTGCTCCAGTTGCCACCCAACACATAGAAGCTTGACCCTCTTCCGCATGCCATCCACTTCCATGTTGGGAACATTTCTTCTCAAAGAAAAACACCATGGCTACAGTGGACGCCACCATAATCGCACAAACATATTAATTCTCCTGCTCCCCCAACCAAACTCAATTCCGCCTCCTCTACCGCGCGGTTCCCGCCATACCACCGATCGACCACGAACATCTGCGATGATACCGCTTCACGCGTCTCGAATCCCAGGAGCATCATGGAGATCGACCTGCACCCAGCGCGGAGTGGTGCTGTCCGCTTCGGAGCTCTTCACCTGAGGAGTTCGGTGACCGTAACGTCCCGGTCCGGAACCGAAACACGGATCGAGGCAGGCGGACCGGTGTTTTCACACCGGGTTTTCCGGGTGTTTCGAGGGGCAAACACACCACTTAAGGATCCACTATAGGTCATTCAAGTCCGGCTCCGCCCAATTCTGGCGCACCGAGTTCTAGTTCTCCGAGTTCCGGCCGCATCCGATTCGTTCGGGCCTGGAATTGACTACTGGAGACGGACAAGGTCTCTGCAGTGTAGTCCAAGAGCAAGTCCAAGGCCGCAGGAAAGATCTGCGCTTGCCTCGGCTGAGCAAATGTTCTGGCGCATCGCCTTAAGTTGCCATCTATCTTAAACATCTTGGAATTTGTACCATCTATACTCGGAGGGCTACGTATAGGTAGGCGACAGGTTGCTTGATTGGAGACCCCTGCCCGGAGGAACCCAATGATGTCATCAGATCATTTCTCGTGGCCGGGTGGGCGTGGAAGACCCAAAGGCAAGCGACCTATGACCCAACTATTTGTATTCTGGATCTTCCAAATATGCAAAATGGCTGAATTTTATGGATGAACCAGCATAAATTCTGCACAGTTGGAAGATCCAAGTATACATGTTGGTGAAGGTTCCAAAACCCTCGTTGTGAGGGTCAAAACGATCAGAAGGGTCAGAACGATCCATGCCCAGAAGGGTCACTCCAGCCGGTGAGGGACCGATGGGTTAAGACAAGACCTTTATGGAGAGACCTTGATGGTTCCATACATTGGAGCAAATGGAATCATCGGACCGGATGAATCGCTTTTGTTGGAGACGTTTTAACTTTCTCCAACATCATCTTGAGACATACAAGGACATGTCTTGCGGGTAGTTGCTGGAACTATTCCCTTTCCATGCCAGGAGATATGAAAACCCACTCCGGTTTTTCATCAACAATCACCAGAGAAACCAAAACAACTTACGCCGCTACCTCTCCCAAACGCTGGACGCCGAAAAAAAGAAACGTGAGACGCTGCGCGTCCACCCGAGCTGCAATGTGCCGAAGATGATCTCATCCGGCAGAGCACAATGACAAATCAGGAAGGTGGCTTCCACCTAGGAGACACCGCTTCCAACCACCAGACCGGTCATCGCTGCGATCGGTTGGAGGTCATCGCTGCGATCGGTTGGGCATCCGGTCGGCAATCCCCGTCGCAAAGGTACGAATAGCCCCGACCCCAATGTACCAGCTTCTTCAGTTCGTGACCTCTTTGGAGTGCCAGCCAGTGACCTTTTACAGGCCGACCTCAAACAGGGATATCAAGTTCGGTCACTTTGAAGAACCAGGTAGGTAACTATTCCATACAAGGATGGTCAGGGTCTTTCCATGCGTTTCTCTGAAGGGCGGACGGAGAACATACATGGATAGTCTGGGAGAGCTTGGCAGCCCTGGTGTTGTAGTATAAAATTCTTTACTTCGGCGGCCCTTCCAACCTCAGAGTTTGGACCCAACTCGTTTGCTGGTATTGAACCCTCAAAAACGTGTATAGCAGTTGGTTCAGGTCCAAGGTCACATCTGGGTTCAAACCATGCCCCAAACACTCTATGTATGGCCCCTTTTCAACCATCCCTGGCAGGCCTGATTTGACCAATAATCTTATAATCGTCGAAAGAAGTTGCCTTTTGCCGTCATTTGCCGTTGGCCTGTTTTTGTCCACCAGGTGGATCTAGGCCGTGGCATTCCCTCAACAGGTCGTCTCTGAAGGCCAACGACGCCAACTACGCGCCGAGTGGCTGATTGCGAGCGCTTGGGCCCTTGAAGGGCCACGGCCCGCAGCTGCATGCGGCTGGTCACAGTGATGGGGCCCATGTAGCCTCAAGAGCCCCATGGTATGGCCCACAAAGACGAAAACCATAATATGCCATATATTCCCCCAAATAGCATTGAGAGTGGTTGACACGGGCTGAATATAGGCATAGATACCAGTCCCATGGAGTGTCTGGGTCACGTATGGTCACGAGCAAGAGGCTGTCGGGCGACGCACGTTTGGGTGATGCGTTCCTGTGACGGTCCTCCGATTGTGGGTGGCTGAAGTGGAGACGACCCACCTTGGGGCAGGTGGTGACCAAGCAATTTTGGAGTGCTAGTTAAGTTTGTTTCTCAAACTGCCAGTAGACCAAGAGAGCCCCAACAGTGGATTTGCCCCCCAACACTGCGTAGAACGCAAAAGACACTCAGATGGGTGGTCTAGTAAACCTTGCTTCCCCAAACACTCCACAAGACTGTCATACCTGGATCTTCCAACTATATATTTGTTTCTGCCTTTTGGATCCTTTTGGTTGGTTTTATGGATGACAAGGTAGACATTTTGCATGGGTGGAAGGTCTAGCTATGAAACGCGACATTGTGGCCACGGGAAAAAACACTAGAAATCACTCAAGCAGTGTGCTATCTATCACTCATTGAGCCCGGAAGAAGGATTAATGACAACTCACTGGTTAGATGATCCTCAACATCTTAATTACCGACTCCCTCAGTTTCCTTTGAACATGAAGGCTAACACAGGTTAACTTCTGTTTGTGAGGAAGCCCATCTCCAACAAAAGGTCAGAGGTTATCCACTATATCTGTGTATACAGGGTTATGCAGTGCAGTTATGCAGGTATATGGCAAAACAAAGCCAACACACAAAGAAAACACAAACCAAAACGACTGGGAGAACTCCAGTTCCCCAAACGTTCCGACTCTGACTGATTGAACCCTCTTCCCTCAACCTGAAAACGCCATGTTCAAGGCACGTTGGCCACAAAGATACGGATCTCGTCCATCCAAGGTATAGAGTACCTTGACCTTTGAACCTTTGGCCGCATCCTCCTCGCCCACCTCGGCAGATCATCGCGCAGGTTGGCAGTGAACTGCCGTTTCAATGCGTTCCGGTTCTGGTGCTCCCGCGTTTGCGCTGGCCAAGTGAGTCCCCGAACCGAAGCTGGATGGATGATCTTTCAACCGCCCCCCAGTCCAAAAGGATGTGTAAAACCTCTTCCAGGACACGAAACAAGAACCAGGGCTCCCAAAGATTCCCGAAATGCAAACGACTTAAAAGGTCGCAGCTGGTCACCTGTGGAGGCGGGTGCAAATTCAGTTCACTTGTGGAAGGATTTGTCCTCAAGATTCGACCATGAACTTACTTTCTGAACCATACTGAACCCTAAGGATCCGCACCCTCAAAAAGGCACGGCTTTTGGGTTCGGCGCCCCTGCCACCCACCCACCCTTGTGAACGATCGAGGCTTCGACCCCGACCGCCATGGAGGGTTCGGATATGTGCGGATCCTTCGGGATACTTCAAGCGGGATCCAAGTACCTTCTCAGAAGGTACGACTGGACCCTCCAAACCTACATAACAGTGCCTCCAATCACCTTCTGAGAAGGTACTTGGATCCCTAGGGCTTGAAGTATCCCGTGGTCGCTCCGACCACTTTGGCGCCGGGGCTGCCGACTCGCACCGGGTGAACCCACGGGTCGTCGTTCACCCCCGACGATGGCAGAGGGTTCTCCGGTGAAGCCACGGGTCCCGTGGGGTGCTTGATATGGTGACCTCGCACCGCATTTGATGGGCGACTCATGGACTCATCATGGTGGAAGCGGATGGAAACGACCAAACCGGTGGTGCCATCCACATAAGCATGATTCCACGGAGTCTAAACACTCTTGGAGTACTCCAGTTCGCAGGGTGGGCCTGATCGAAAAGCAAGAATCCGGACACAAACCAAACCTTTTCCATTGCTTCGGGCCTAGACCCTTATCGGGCACCCCGTTTCGCCCTGGTGCTAATCCCCACGCAGGGTCCCAAAACCTCCTGCACACGTTTCGTTTTGTTTATTTTCCCCCAGCTCAGCACTCTCAAGCTTCATCTTTGAAGTTATACAATTCGCCTTCGAATTCAAAGCCCAACTATACTCCGCTACCCAAATGGTTTGAAGAGGGGGCGCAGGCGGGCGCAGGGCGCAGGGCGTCGAACCCAAGAGCTTTGGGTCTTCATCTTTTTTGGTTCGACCATGGGACGGGACATGTCACCTGTCTTTCCATCCAAAGCTACCCATAGCCAGCTGCCCTCACATAGCTGCCCCACATGAAAAGCAGAATTGATGGTAAATTCAACATGTTTCAACTCACTTGACACACATTAGTCAGTGGGCTCAATCATCCCAAGTAAAGGTTGGAAATAGGTTGGAACCAAAATTATCATGCAAATGTCAAAGATTTGGTAAATATGACCGGGGAATCTAAGACAAGTCATGACAAGTCTCTATAAAAAAAGAAACTGATATATCAGTACCCAACCCGTGGCATTCTGTAGAGGATACAGGCAGGTTCACCAAAATGACCACTTGACATCACTTGACCCAGCCAGCGGAGGTCCCTCTGCCCCACTTACTGGTCGACTGCCGCGCCGAGGGGCCAAGATGCTGACCTTCCTGCCGACGGGCTGTGGCGACGGGCTGTGGGGGCCGGAGTTCGGAGGGGGCGCCGTGCGGCGACCGTCTGAAACAGAGCACCGCCATACAGCTTGGCATGTGAAGAAACCTGGAGCAGCAGGGTCTCCAGCTTCTTGCTTGCGCCTTTTGAGTTTGTATAATTATGTTTTGTGGTGGCCGCTGAGACCTTCACCGGACCTTCACGGCCCTTAAAAAGTGAGTGCACTGTGGAGCACCTGCTGTGGAGCACCTGGCGGTGTTCGAGAAAGTGTTGGGTTTGGAAGATCTGAGAACATCCTCGGCAGACTGGTGCCTAACACAACCATCACTCGGCTGGAGGGAGGGGGACGGAATTGCTGTGCTGGGAGGGACCCAGCACCTGTGCTTTGTCCTGCTCATAGGCCATCAAGACTGCTCCGGTCAAAGGATTTTTCCGAATTTTGGCTCGAATTCGGAGAGGCCTCCGCCCTGTGTCGCACAAAGAAAACGGAGAGGCCTCCGCCCTCTCCTCAGGTTGTCCAAAGCACCCTGCCATCTCTGCTCAAGGAGAGACCTCCAATGATCACTGGCCAGCTGGCAGGCCCTTGCAGACACCTCTGCTTCAGGTCATAGTTAGGAAGACAGTGGAAGGTCCAGGAGCTTGTAGAAAAGGTCAACCTGCCAAACCAAGACATCTGGATGGCCCCTCCCTTCCACATGCTGTCCCAAGCTCCACAGGCCACATGGAGCTGTTGAACGTGTGGTCACTTCTCTGGCTCTGCATGGGTCTTCCAGGCTGCTTTGCCAGCCGAGAGAACACAGTCCGGGTTGTTTGGGAAGCAATTGAACACATACCCTGCCGCAATCTCGCTTGGAAACTGCAACATCATGATTTCAGTCTCTGCAGCACTTCGCAAAAGCGGCATCGTCGATCTTCCCAACATATAATCTCTTGATTTAAGAAAATGTCAGTGACAGAATTCTCAATCACTCTGCTCCTTTGATGACTGCGCTTGATGTACATCACACGACGGATTCTCCGACCGTCATTGGCCACTCCGCCCCACACAAAGCATGTCCTTGAATTGCCCCTGCTCACATGGAGCAATTCTGATGACTCTTTCAACTCCAGCAGTCTGAATTGACTGAACTGCGGACCAACCTCAAGACCTTAAACCCGATACACTATGATACACTGTTTGGGGTCTCTTGCCGGTCGCAGAATCCCGTTCGCCGAACCCGAGAAGACCCTGAAAAGAGTTCGGGAACGGCCTTGTGTTGTAAAACCATGGTTCTTTAAAGACCATTACAGGGCAAGGAATCGCATCTGTTAAGGAACATGGGACCAAACATAAGACACATTCCTGCATTCATCCACAACAATCCGTGAGACTGGACTATTAACCAGTGCATTGACCCTTAAAATTAAATCCTTGAACGCATCATTGAAACCACTCTGTAGCTAAATATGCCATACATGGATGGTTGCGATGGTTAATTCGGCAACATCAAACATCGCCCTACGTTTCCTGAGTGGGGAAATCCCCAAGCGGATCTAGGATCTACGAACGGAGCTACTAGGGCATCGCTACTAGTAACAAAGGGCATGACTACTAGTAAGGGAAGAGCTATGGCTACCTGGGTCATGCTGTGGTGTCCTGGCTAGACTACCCAGGCTGCTAGACTGGACCTCCAGACAGGACACCCAGGCGGTATGATCGTAGTTGATCCACTGAGGTCGACGGAAACAACCACCCAGGTCCGATCCTCAAACTTGGCTTGGATTTGCTGAAGGAACCTGGAAAAACAGCCCACAAATCGAACAAATACCTACCCAAAGGGTATTTCACCCAGTTCGGGAACATCACCAATCACCGAAGTCTGCGCCAAACCCAGTGGAATCGTTCGTCTCTCCTCGGCTGTGCAAAGGCGCCGCCCTCCGGCAGAATCTTCGGTGCGGCGAGCTTGCAGTCCTCGTGGACGGGACGACGGGTCGAAACGCTCACGGCCGGTGACCTCCTCGTTCGTCGGGTTGGCGAGACGACGCACGACGGGAAGATTTGCCTACAACAGTCCCTATAGGGATCCAAGCGTACCGAACCTCAGAAGGTACGACTGGACCCTACTGGCACCTACATAGCCGTGTCGAACACATCACCTGCTGAGAAGGTACTTGGATCCCTAGGGAGGATCCGGTCGTGCCTCCTCAAAAGGTACGACTGGACCCTCCTGGCACCCACCCCAGTCCCACCTTCGAGGGTACTTATGGATCCTGGATTAGTAAGACCCTAAATGTTCATGATCGAAAAAAGTCCAGTCCTGTCGTGGAGATTTTGGAGCTTGTTCCGCGACGCTCACGGGTTTTTTCGAGGCTCAGTCAGCACTCAAAACACAGGACGTTCTCTCCACCAAACTGAAGGGCAGCGTGCCGTCTCCAAGTCCACCGCGTGCAGAACTTGGATTTGCTGTTCAGGAACCGGGAAGAGATTTTCTGAGGATTTCACCCAGTTCGGACGAAATCACCCGAAAACCCCCAACCCCAAGCGATTCGGCAGAACACGCACCGTCGGAGTCAAATCCTCACATGGTGTTCCGCCAAAAACAACAAGCAGTTACCCAGCACCTGCTTCTTAACGTTTCGCGACGGGCCGACCTCGGCTGCGCCCCGTCCCGTCCCGCCGTCCCGCGCTCTCCTCCGGCTTCACGGTGCCCTCCAACGCGAAGGTCCCGGCGGGTGCCGGGCCGAAGCCCGCGCGGAGCAGCGCCCGCGCGGCGGCGTTGTGCTTCACGCGGAGGGCCTGGAGACGGAGGCGTCGGAGCTGGGTCTGGGAGTGCAGGTGGCGAGGTGGGTGGCCGTGGAGATGGAAGGGGGGAAGGTAAAATGGTTTCCTATAGAAGTCGATGACCTCATTTTCTTTGTGAAGGTGGTCATACCAAAACAATCCTAACACTAATTACTCAAGGAGGGGGGTTCACCAGGTTTCACTAGGTCTAGACTTGTAGAGGTTGTAGAGTACGTGGCGGAAACAGTACGTGGCGGTTTTCTGAGTTGGTCATTTGCAAAACACTCCTCAATGAGGCTTTCAGGACCAGGTCTGGACCTGGGTCAGACTGAACCTGGTTCGTCCCTTGCAGTCCTAAAACTCGTCCCACCCCGTGCGGGGCACTGCCTCTTTCAATGCTCGACCACCGTCATTCTTGTCCTGGAACCAGCTCGACCGATCCGTCGCGTCCGCCGCGACGTGGAACACGCGGAACTCGGCCGATCCGTCGCCGCGTCGGAGCGAAGTTCGAACGCTGTAGAACATCCGTGATTTGATTCCGTCCATGGGGTATAACCCATCTTCACCAAAAAAAAGGGGTTGGGTAGGTTGTTGGTATAGGGAAAGGATGAGGAAGTGACGCCTCCCAAGCCTTATTGCAAGCCTGATCACTTTGAAGAAGCTGGTAGGTCCTGTTTGTTGCTGCCTGCCTGTGGTCATGGTGATTGTTTGAGGATGCTGGCTTGAGCAGCCACCATGCTAACGCATGCAAGTCGTCTCGACCTCCTCACGTCACCTTTCTAAACCCAGGGCGGGTTTTCCAGAGTGCATCTTTGAACGGTTCGCAGCACTTCCTCAATGCCATGTCTTTTGTGCAGTTTTTTCCGCCCATTCGCAGCTCTCTTGCAGGTTTCTTCCATTTTCTGATCAATCAATGTGCGAAAGGTTCCAATCAAAGCATCAGGCGGTCCTACCTCAATGGTTTCGACAACACTCTCGATTGAATATATTGATTATTCATTGATATTAGTTGCATCCTATTCATTAAACTGTCCTACATGCATTTTATTGCATGTCATGTCATGTCATTTCATGCATGCACCCAATATCATCCAATGATTCACGCAAACTTTTGAGTGAAACCACCTTGTGAGAGCAAACCTTGAGAGATATTTTGTGTGGCAGAAAGTCATTTCATGATTTTCATGTCATTTCATTTCATTCATTCAATCAAACAGCCCGTCATCGTTCCTACTCCATCTTTCACTTTTTCCTTCTCCCGCTACCTCTCTGCCTTTCTACCTTTCTTCCTTTCTTTTTTTCTGTCTGTCTTTCTGTCTTTCTTTCTTTTCTGTATTTTTTTCTCTCTGTGTGTCTCTCTCTCCAAGAAGGTGCATGGACGAAACACATGGCGCTGCTGATTGTTCTGGAAGAACAAATCCCATCATCACGCTTTTGCTCATAGCTTCCTGCCCATCTCGAGCACAGCGTTGCGGGTACACCTTGAAGGCTTCACAAAACATGTTTGCATTGGTGCTCATGGTACGAACAACCGTGTCAGTCTTCTCAAATAGTAGTCCTTAGGGCTTGGTGGTGTCTTGGCCTCGTCATCGTACGAGGTGCTGCCACTTCTCGCCCTTGGCCTTGTCCCTCTTTTCGATGACACCAGTTTCTTCAACACTTCTTGTGCGTCAGCGGAATCTGCCAATGGTGCACAGGCAACGAAGTCTTTGTTGACTTGGACTCATCATCATAACAACTATTAAGAACTTATTGAGCCTGCCGCAAAATGATCCCAGTGAACCAACTATATAGCCCTATTTATGGAACTGCAAGCCATGCAGTGGATGTCTGTCTTTGGTGGGAACTCCAGACTTTGTCCTTGTGCGAAACATGCTCTTGTCAAAGCACATCGCTGCAGGAGTCACCAGAACATCAGAAGTTGGCAGCTAGAAGTTTCAGGCAGATCTTCATTCAGCCTGTTTATTCAGGATGTTTCATTCAGCCTGTTCTTTCAAACAACTAGAAGTTTTGGCATCTTCATTCAGGATTTGAGAGCGGTTCCCTCTCGCTGTGTCTGCAGCCGTTCCCGGCCCTACCTCTTGGGTATTGCGCACCCCAAAATGAGACCGAACTCGATCTTGTCAATCGTGAATGAACCATCAACCTCTGAAATAAGACGTGATCAGCTGTCAATCGTCAAGTGGAAACCAAGCACGAGGGGTTTTGAGCTTTATTGCAATCTTAGCCGCACAGATACCTATAACGTAGCTCTCGGAACGTGCCAACAGAGGTTGAAGAACCCTAAAACGATCTATAGTCTATCCCAGATCAGTACCTCAGGTAACCGGTCCTTTTCCAGGTCAACAAATCTCTCTTGGATGACAAGGTCTCAATCAAGCTAGTAGCCCTATGGATCCACATACCGAACCTGAGGTACGGTGATGTGTTCGACTATTTAGGCGCCATTGTCGGGTCCCAGTCGTACCGAACCCGGTCGGTACGGTGGCAGTGGATCCATGAGGTAGGTAGTTGGAGGCCATCGCTATTAAACCATGCTCCGCCCACACCGGTGGACCCCACATCGCCCGCACGGATCGAAACTCCTCCTTGGCCCCCTTCCTCGGAGACACAAACCGTGCCGTCTTCGGACCGTGCTGGTGCATGAAATCAACTCCTCATAGAATGGAACTCCCAACCATTCATGGACTGAAGACCGAAGATCCCTGATATTTTTCACTACAAAACCATCTCTACCTTTTTGTTCATGAACTTGGAAGGCCAGGGAGGTGATCATGGATCTCTTGGATTCTTGGGAAGGTGAAGGTGTGGGAAAATGAGAATCCTTCATTAGAATGCATGAGCAGCCATGAAACATACATTCATGAAATCGTTTTCCTCTGATTATTCTGGGAGGATGCCCTTCTCTCCCAAATAATGGTCTGTCTGATGTATGACCAGGGCCCAGTGGATGATGACCTGGATTTGGTTGAGAAACCGGGAAAATAACACAAATTCGGTATTCCCAGAAAAGGATTCATCTATATGGAAAATATGAAAACATAACCCTAAACAACACCATGATGGTTAGCAAAGGCATTTCCTCCAAATAGTATCAAATAGTGAAAATTGTTTACTGACTGTAACTGCTAACGGGACACACCCTATCCGAAAGTCGGGTCCAAAAACATATCTAGGGTCATCATCCCCGCGAATGCACCAATCAAACCCAAACGTTCCATGGTGGGTGCCCATATGGGGCTGACAATTTTTATACAGGATTGTGAAGTATTTTGGCGGATTTTTTCTAGGAACGCTTTCATATGGTGATGCAGGGTACCTGGTGGTTTTGGTTTTGTTTTAACGAGGTCCTTTGGATTGTGGGCGGGTTTTCTTCGGTTGAATCTTCTGCGCTGTTGCAGTAGCCGGATGAATCGTGCTTTCGTTGTTGAGGGGCTGTCATAAGGAACTGCTGAGGTAAACAAGATTCAACCCACCTAAGAGCCCCTACTGCAGCACACGCACGCATTGATCACAGTGACCTGTGGACCAGGCACCAGACGCATATTGCAGTTGTACTCAAGATGTCGGAACTACTCAACACCTGTATCACCTATACCTGCACACCTGTGTCTCAATACCTGTATCCAAAGAAGAGAAGGAGAAGGAGAAGGAGAAGGAGAAGGAGAAGGAGAAGGAGAAGGAGA